ATAAAAAATCTCATTTAAAGTTTTAAGATAGATAGATAAGTGATTGATCACACAATTACATTAAATTAATATTACTGAACATTTAAGTCAATTATCTAATTTATTAATTGACATTTATCATTTACTCTCTGATTATTGCACTGAATATAAAAGTTGATCTAATGTATCTACAATAAGTTTTTTTCTGTTTACAGTACAAATTTGGAGACATAATTATGTTTCCAAAGGAATGTATCACGACAGGAGCACGGCCTGTGTACAAGCACTATGCTATTTATGTGGGCCCAAGCAGTGAGATAGACATTGGGCAAGGTGACAATGACATATTTCACCGCACAGGTACGTGTAGTAAACTGATAATGTAAGTATGCACATTTAAACACAGTATTACTGTCTGTCTAACATCGAAGGCAGGGGCAGACCTAGAGAAATACTGATGGGATGGCCAGAGGGTGGCAAAAGTATTTCTATTTCGGTTTAATCGCATATATAGAAATCATATATATGATTATTTGCTTGGTAAAGTGCCCAAATGAACATATCCAAACTCAAAAACATCACAACACATTAGTAAAGTGTTGAATAGAAATATCAATTTCAATTTTCCGCCAGGATTTTTTAGTATGTACATATTAATGCTCTGCATATTGTTAATAGCTCACAGTTGAACAGCAAAAACTGGCGGTATGTTGCTGGATGCCACTGAAACGCTTCCTTCCTCTTCTTTGTGCACTGTAAAACCTGATGAGTTTGTTCAGTACAGTAGCAACTGTTTGAGGAAACCGATCGCCTTGAACCATTTAAGTTTATCAGTTTATTTTAATTTATTTCTTTTATAAAGATGTGTTGTCAGGTTTTACAGTGTAGTTACAGCCTGCTCTAAATGCTGGACTGTTACAAACAAACCCATTACTGATGCAAATGAAAAGAAGAAAAGAGCAAATGCAATACTGCAGGAATAAGTGTTTGAACTGTATACAATATCTCTAATTAAGTTTATTCTCACAAACAGGTGAATACACACTGAAGCCTGACTGTAGGTTTGATAAACTTGAAACAACGACAGGAAAATGGAAGGAGAGAGTGGACAATTACCTTGATGTCATTCCCAAAATGAAAAACGCCACTAACAAGGAAGACATAATAAAGCGGATCAACTATACCATTCACAACTGTAAAGAATATGGCATCTTTGGAAACAACTGTGAACACCTTGCTACCTACGTACGCTATGGCCTGAAGATATCACTGCAGGTATGTAACAGATTCAACAGCGGCCCGTAACCGTGTATACAGTGTTACTAAAACTTTCTACGGACAGACATCTGCCATCCAACAAAGTTAGCTTAGAAAAATGTCTAATATGTAAAACCAAATGTATATGAAGTTGAAGTAATGTATGTGCAAGAAAGCAAACTTTAACATGTGTTTTGCTTTTTTCACAGCGGGGTACGTTGGCTAAATTTCTTTTCAGAGCTCAACCCGAAGTCAAAAAAATACTGGCCGGAATAAAAAAAGACGAAGTAAAAGAGATCAGCTGTGAGCTGTCTGTCCATGGTAACACCGGCAAGAAAGGAAACTTCTTCTCACGCATGATTAAGAAAATTAAAAGTCTAGGGTGACTTAAAGCAACGCCTGATACCCGTCTGCAGTCTTTGCCAATTTATGATGTGTAACTATGCAGAGAGCAATCCAAAGAACTTCAATTAAAGTTTTACGATTTTTAAACTATTAGAATTGCTTATTGCTTTTTTTTCTCATAAATATGAGCATTTTGGTACACCAATTTTGCCATTATTTCTATATTGATCATCATCTATTAGTTTTTGTCATCTCAAATTATAAAGATATATCCCTATTACGTCAGTATATTGTATTTACTATGTATTTACCTTGCTGATTGATTAAGCCATGTATGCACTGCTAAATGTGACCTCTTTCATGCTTTTTTATTTTCTCTTTATGCTCTAGAGAGAGTGTTGCTTCTGTTTAGTGGGGTAGGGCGGGAAAAATGTTCATGGAAAAAAATAGTGCATGCTCAATGTATTATGTGCTTGTCAACATGTAAAAATAAAAGAAAACAAAAAGTCCAGTGTGCAGTCCATCTAGTGGTGGAGCTTCAGATTGCAACCATCTGAATACAGCTCAGTTTTTCAAATGTGAAATGGAAACTAGATTGTTACATTGCCTACCCCTACCATTGCCTGCTTACCTGTTGCGAGCGTTGGATGCTTCTGTTGGGAGAGGTTGGAGGTCAAGGGTGCATTTTGCTATTGCCATCCTATACTGCCAGCCATTAGCAAAAAGAGGCGCTTACCCAAAGACTGAGATGCTCAGAAATGTAGCTGTCTCAGAATAATATATAATAATAATAATAACTTTAAATTGCTTATTTTGTGTGATCAAGTGAAAACTCCAAAGAGATTCAATTTATTAAATAATACATATAAATAAAATATAAAAAATGTAAATGTAATAAACCATTCTAATTCCATATGTTCATATTTTCCTTGTTAGTGAAAATACATTTGAATTCCTCCTTTTTCCGAGGAATATCAGGAGGACGCAGCCCCAGAATAATGATCCTAGGTTCCACAGTCACAGCTATAAGCAAAATGTTATCAGTCATACAGATCACCTCACTCCATGCAACATATAAACCTTCTTACAGTGATTTAATTATTGTGCATCTGTGTTGTGTCAGAGTTCAAAAAGACAAAAATAACAAAGCATAACATTCTCATAGGGAGTAAAGAGTGGACGTTTATTCATTTCATACTCATATGCTGAGCAGTATTATGGGCTAACATAGGCACAGAGGGGTTTATCATTGGTACAGCCTGAGGTTACTATAGTGTTAATACATTGTTACAATATGTGTAAAAAAAAATAAAAAGAGGTGAAATGTAGTAAAAATTGAATGTGACAGTGACATTTTAATGATGATTAAAACTAAAACTATACAGTGAAAGTGTATGCTGTTAATATGAGAAGATTTTAAAAGGATGGTGCGTCCCCTCCGTTTAGTCTTGTCCTCATCATAAACTCATGGACACCTGGATGAACTAGAGAGAGAGAGAGAGAGATACACCCAGTGTTATCACACAACTCTCAATTATCTAGCAGTCATCTAAAACACCATTCATCAGAAGATGGTTGAACAGACCTGTTGTTCTGCATCTACATTAATGGATTTTTGTTGTAATAGGAGTTGTTTATGTGAGCGTTAGCAAAAATGGTCTGACAGAGCTGAATCATCTCTCTCTCCTTTTAGCTCTGGCTCTTGGTCTCCACCAACTGCTCAGAGAAAAAACCTTTTATCATATCATTTTAGTCTCTGTGTGTGTCTGCTGTGTGTTTCTGAGCAGGTAGTGCACAGTCGATTTATCTTATATCGGCTTGTTTGCTGAAAACAGCTGCCTGCTGATGCTGGAAACACAGTTTAAGATCCAGATATATAAGTTAGAAGGGAGAGTGAATATTGACTTGACTGAAAATACATGTCAATTTAAAAAAAATAACTTAAACCTAACCTTAACCTACATTTTTTAAGTCATGGACACTTACATCGTCGTACTGAAACATGGCCGTGCCACTTTGGTTTGTGTCTCTCCTTCGGAAATGGTCTGAAAAACATACAAACATTAAACATGCACATTTGACCGGCTGATCACACACCCCCTTTACAGTCTGGAGTCACTCTGAGTAACAAAGCCCCCTTCATGATCTGTATTTCAGCATCCATCTTCCTGTTTGAACCATGGATGTATAAAGAGAAATGGATACAGCGTTGAAGGCGGCGCTCCGTTCAGTCCCATGAAAGCTGCTCAGTGGCGCATGAAGCAAAAAAAAACACATACTTGTCTCCACTTGCGGATCCGTGTGCATTAGGATCAAAAGCTGTTAAAATGCATGTGTTATTTAGCCACACCATTGTCGTAGGTAGGTGCTCAGTAAAAAGCAGTTTTTGTCAAAGGCTCCCAAAGAAACAATTTTAAAAAGTGTTTCTTAAATCACATATATAAAAGCATACAAGTGGACAAGTTGAGCTACAGTTGATCCACCAGTAAAAAGCAACCTGCTCATACAAGCTCAATCAGCTTATTTATCTTCCTAATCAACCCTCCAATGAGCTGCCGGTGTTAGTTCAGGGTTTTCCCTCCTGATACTGTGAGGGACAATGAGGGTGTTGTTTTTATGCCTACTGTCTCAGATTTCACGCGTTCCTCGGCCCACTCACCGGTCAGGCAACGGAGTTTTACACAACTGCTCACAAAATCATCAAAGGCGATTCTGCCGCTTGTGCTGTAGCGGTTCATGATGACGTTCATGGCCTGAGGGCTCAGGTTATAACCTGCAAAGGAACACATACATTAAATAAATGACATTTTACACAGAGAGAAAATACCCGTCATGTGCTTCATAGTAATTTCCAGAAACCACAGTGGTTTATCTATGTCCACTGGTCATTTCACAATATTTATTCCTAATTTTTGGCTTTTATATGCTGCTTGACCGAGGAGTTTTGTTAGTTTTCCTGTACCCATGGTGGTGATGGCCTGCTGCATCTCAGGGCCCTCCACCGTTCCACTGCGGTCCCGGTCGTAGGATGCAAAGGTATTCTTCCAGCCGTTCAGAGCCTGCGACAGTTCCTTGAACTCATTAAAGCCCATGGTGCCGGAGCCGTCCCTCTGAGTGACACAGTCAAGGACCCATCATATACTTTTCCAGCACTCCATGGAGCTGTTAGGGCAAACACTCACTGAAAACCCTCATACCAGATGGGTAGCTTACCAGCTTAACAGTGTGTCACTCATATTACATACTGATACGAAGCCAAAAATTATAGCCTGTTTAGCACAAAAATGCTCACCGTGTTTTAATGTTTCGCTCTATATTTGACATATGGGTGTAATATTTGGGCGTGGTATGAAGTTGGAACAATCTTTATAATCTCTGTTCATTCATTCATTTATTCATCTTCATCTGCTTATCCGGGATCTGGTCAAATCTCTGTTTGATTCTCTAAATCCTGTTTACTTCAGAGAATCTGTACTGATCTACAGTATCTTGTAAATAGAAGGAAGTGAAAGGGGAATCTCAAAGAACTAAAAGTAATCATGTGACACTATCGACCAGTTTTAGGTGTTTCTGTTTGGCTGATATTCGCCTCTTGCAGCGGTGAGAAAATGTTTCTGTGGTCTGTGATCCCGACTGGGTCATGACTAACAGGAGCATACACGTAACCAAAGAGCAGTGAGGTTTGAAAAAAGGTCTCTTGAAAGTGATATTAGCAGGAACTTGTCCCATCTTTACCCTCACTGGGGTTGTGATAAAGCACGTTAATGTGAAAGTCCGTGGTTGCCAACCTGTTGGTCAGGGCCCCCACTGTGGGTGGCAGTATTCACAGGAATTAATCTGCTAAAAATCCCTCCAAATTTCTCATTTTACACAAACGTCCTGCAGTTATTGTATTCACTATTTGAGTTCATTGTACAGTTTATCAGCTGTTTTCTACTGTTATGCGTTGAATATAATATAAAATATCCATAAACTATGTCACTTAGTCAGGGGTCATCAGTTTACTTGTTGTTTTTACATGTGTAAATATCTTCAGTTAAACATTAAAAAGCCAAAACATTTCATGTAAAATTAAAGCTAAAAACTGTATTTTAATTATAGAAAATTACTGTATTTTTATGTTTTTTTTTTTTACAGTGCTGTTAATACATTTAAAACTGGTGTTCAGTGCCACTTAAAATGTAGTTGCGGGTTTCCCAGATGTATACACCTGTAGTCAAAGAGGAACCTGTCACATCACAGGTGGATTATTGGGCTGCTGTTTAAAAGTAAAAAGTTGAGCCAGTATACTGGTAAACTGGCATACAGGTATCAGTCTAATCCTGTTTGATAATACAAACACAGAGGGGCTGCCAGGGATTAGAGCTAATAGGCCTCGTCTTGAGTCAGCACACTGAGTTTGTTGGTTTGTCAGGGGTTTTAGGACCGGATTCAAATGAACTGTGGACTTTGAGGTGCAGAGCGCGCGCACCCTCCGGTTAAAGCCACCAGAACTAAGATGCTCTAACAACTCCAACCCTTGCGGTTTTTCAAGGCTGTGGATTAAACAGAAATACTTTTTGGCCAAATGAAGCCTCGCACGGAGCCTCGTTAACTCCTGAACAAATATCAATAAAACCTGTGCAGCAACTCATCTGCAGATACTCACTCGTCTGCAGACAAATCACACTCCACGTAACACACCGATGATTTATTAACACATGGAGCCCTTTTCTGTAAAAGTGACCTTGGGAAACTAATTAATCTGCTTTGCATATTTACAGCTTTTTGTTGAGTAATCCCGGAGGGGAATGCATGCAAACAACTGTAGCATAAAGGTTCTTTCACCCATTGAAACGAAGAGGATCTGTAATATTCATATTTCTCTTTTAGCCATCAAACAACCTCTAACAGGAGAGCAGCAGCCATTGATGCTTTCACTTTATTCAGTATCATTGGTCTGTTTGTCCTGAAGTAACTATGTACTTTAGAGGTCTTTTACTTGACATTACCTACTTTTCTTTGGAATTTACTATGTTTTCAATAATGACACTTAAATAAGAGGCATCATGGTCCTCTCACAGGGCACATCGGACTCAGAGCAAACAAATACAGGTACGTCAAACTGGTGTCCAAGACCACTTTACCCTGAGGTGTCAGTCCAAACTATTTCACACTGTACTATTGACAGTATATATAATGAACAGGGCTTGAAGCCAAGAAAAGCCAGAGCCAATGCAGAACTGTCTTAAACCTGCATTCTCTGTAACAACCAGCAGGGGGCAGCTCCATTGGCTGCAATAACACACTGATACCATTCAGTCTTATGGAGAAATGAG